ACACAATCAGATACACCTGATAACAGGGGGCAGAAGAATACACAAAAAATAATCTTGACTTATCGCATAGTAATAAATTATTAATATAAAAAATGTATTTCTGTTTTTTCTTTTTACATATTTTGTTAAAAGGCCAAATAAAGACTTCAAAGCAAAAAAAGTAATTTCCTGTTTTTGTTTTAATTTATGTTGACATTATGTTAAATAACAATATTGTTTTGTCATCTTATTAGGAGTATTTTTTACTAATCCCCCTTTACCCTGACCCTGTTATATAGATATTAGACACCACCCGGCTTAGCACCGTCCTTTGTCCTATCCCTGTTAGACCAAAAGGGACAAACCGTCCCTGTGCTCTGGAGCTGGCCTTCACACTAATGGCCTCTTACAGAACCACCACTAATAACTCATCTAAGCTGGGAACATACAGCTCTGAGACACTATTATCGCCTAAAGAACAAAATACAAGCTTAACCGTACCGACTTGTGGACTTCAAGGCTTTATCATTCCGTTATCAGTGTATGTAGGAAAGGCAGGTTTTTCTGTATAGCACATTTTCAGCGTGCTCTACATTAGTGTTTTAGATAAACCCTTTAAAGCCTGATCCAAGAAAAATAGGAAGAATATTGGATTTTTTTTAGTCTGAAGTCTTTCCTTGGCCCCTCAACAACATATGAAGAAAAAAAACTGAAGTTATTTTGATCAAATTAGCGTGCAATAAGTCAAAAATGTGTTTTTGTGTAGTCTTCTACTGGCTGTTATCAGGTATATCTGAATGTGTACAACAGGGGTTTGAGCAAAGCTTTTACCACTGAATGATGCAGAAAGTCTCAGATCCAAAAGACTTCAGAAACCGGATGAATCAATTATGACACATTTGGCATTATAGGGTTAAATAGCTTAAAAGTGACGGCTGCAGATACAATGCCTTCCTACCTATTGTTATTTTAAGATGTTACACAGTCTAAAAGTTACCAGGTAATAAAACATTGTCTTCTATCTGCTCTTCCTCCCAATCAGTCTAAACACTGATATAAGACACAAACGAAGTCTTTCTGAGTCATAGAAAAAAAAACACCTTCTTGTTCTACAGACTGTCAAACTCTTATGAACTTTCACACCACAACAGTTACATACGTGCGTGGATTATTGGCTTTAGCACGAGTCGACTGATCACGATCCTCAGATCTGTCAGGACCAATTAAACTCAGACGAGCGTTTTAACCCGAGTGTCAAAAGCGATACGCAACACAGACGGGGTGAAAACCACAAGCCAGCTTCCAAATTTGGATCCACTGGCTGCTTGATACATATCTTTGATGTTAATTGCATTCCAGGAGTTTGGTTATGATGAAATGAAAACCAACTGAGAAGATACGGAAAACTTTACCAACATTTTAAACTCAAACCAGGGATGACAATGGCAAAAAAAAGCTAATAAATATGATATGATACAATAAAATAAACATCTTTTTATCTTTACATATATCTACAGTGGGGGAAATAAGTATTTGACCCCTTGCTGATTTTGCAGGTTTGCCCACTT